GCCCTGCCGCCCAGCCCCCCGCCCAGCCCAGCCGCAGGGGCTCTCCCATGCCCGATAAAGCCCCTCAGCACTCACCTTGCAGCGGGATGCTGAGCCAGGTCTTTCTTTTCTCCACTTGGGTACTTAATGTCTTCAGGACATGCATTTTTCTGTCAAATTCAATTAATCAAGTTCATCAGCAGATTCAAAAGCCAGCAGGACCTCAGAGAGGACACACAGACACAGACAGACAGAGATACTTATCCGATCACTCTCACGTCATATAATTAATATCTTATGGAACCTAATATCTTAATGAACAAATAATTCACAAATAATTCACTACTGTTCTAGTCGTTCATTGACATTGGGTAGATAGGAATGCGTTAGAGAAACAAAAACGTGATGTCGTCACGGGGAACGCGCCCAAAGGTATGACGTGACCCAGGTGGAAAGGGCCCGCGTGCTCGGGTAGCTGTGACGTTCGAGGTGCCCGGGGGAGGGAGAAGGGAAGGACCCGCCTCGGGGACCTGCCGAAAAGCTCTTGCAGCTCTGGAATTGCCAACTGGGCACAGCCCTGCCCACAAGGAGTCAAGCACCTCGCCGGGGAAGCCACAGCCGAGACCAGTGTTTGGTGGGCAGAAGTCCTCTCCCAACTCCTGCCACGGCCACAAACTGCCCCGGCCGGAGGGCAACGGGCTGACCCCACTGCCACCATGGCCCCCTGGTGCCTGCCGTGCCTGGAGGCATGGGCACCGCTAACCCGCAGGAGCCCACGCAGATGTTCCATGCACATGTCCCTTCTCCCCTCCTCGCTTGTTTTTCCATCGGGATTTCCCAGTTTGCGCCTTTTGCTTTCATTAAGGATCATTTGCCAGATTCCGTCTGAGCACCATGCCAGGCTGCAGACAGCTTGGCTCTTTTGTGCTCGGGAGGGAAGCACTGAAGTTAGTGAAAAGGCGTATAAGGCAGATCTGAACGGCTCAGATGTATTTAATTTAAAATAGCCTGGGTTATTGTGGGCAGCCCTCAAGCGCTCCATGACAGAGCAGCCCGAGCTACCGCAGCCCGTCGGGAAAGCCGGCGTCGCGCTGCGGAATGCTGCCCCCGTCCCGGATGGGCCACGGGGACGCAGCTCGGCTCTTATGCTCCAGAGAAGAAATACCATTTATTAAAGCCTGGCTTTAGCAAGAGATCATTCCTCCCTGACTTCTCTTTGAACAATACTCTTTTTTGCATTTATAAAATATCACACAGAGACCCGGACTGACTTATTATAACATTACCTCAGCTTCTGGGACACTTCTGGCTGGAAAAAAATGTTGAGTTTTCATTTTCAAGTTAGCTCGCTTCTGTGCTTTTCCATCTGACACTTCAGATTATTTTAATGATGGAGTAGCCTTGATTAAATTAATTCCTCCCTACAAAAGCAGCTGTCTTGTGTCAAGGAATCTGTTCGACTATCTGGAACATTTATACTTGCCAAGGAGGAGAGCCGAAGCGCCGAGCTAGCAGAGGGAATGCCCGACCATACCAAACCAGCAACAAGACGCCGGGACATGGCGCTGGGATGGGACCCTGAGCGCTCCCGCTGCTGGGCGAGACGGTCAGGGGCGGCAAGGGAAGAGCCCAAAATAAAACTGAAAAACCAGTGCCAGCGTGGTGGGTGAACCCACAGCCCAAGGTTTATCTTAAACTCTTATTTCTGAACCAAAGGTGTTATTTCATTTTTGTTTAATCTTGACTCAGAGCTTCCTTATTCTCAAACAGCTCCTCGTTTTTTCCCCTTTGAGCCATCCTTTTGCAATCTCGTCCCTCACTCCCCTTACTGGAAGTCGCTAAGCAAGCGCCGTCCGCACAGGCCCATGCTGCTGACGCCAGAGCCGCCTGCCACGTCGGAGGAGGTTGCGCTACAAAGAAAAGCCTTGGAAAAACACCAGAATTGCCACTTCCTTTAAAAAGACGTTTTCAATCTCACAACATAACCATAGGCTAGTCTTATGAAATTACTGGTTTTTTAAAGCACGAATATAATCTTTTCCTCCCCCTTTCTTTTCAATACTCGCATGCGCCGCAGTGGGTTGGAGCCCTCTATTTAAAAAAAATCTCCTGCTTTGTGATTTGGGACACCTTGCATTGCTTTTAAATTTATTAATAACAGAGTTTGAGAGAGCTGCAAAATACCGACCCAGCTCAGGCTTCTTCCTCTTCAGTGCCTGTGTCCTGAGTTTTCGCCACTGATGCCCGCACATCACGACGGATGCCACAGCCCTTTAACCCGGCCGTGCCTGCAGGTGCCTCCGCACCGGCTGCGCGACACCGTCCCCACTCGTGGGCTGCGCAGCGTTCGTTAACGGAGGGAAGCTGCTTGACGGGGACCTTGGCATGGGGGACGGAGTGTCCCGGGCAGGGCAGCGGGGCAGTGCCCGGTGGTGACAGGGTCTCCGCTGCAAGGCTGCGGGCAGCAGTGGGATGGCAGAGACTCCCCAAGCCGCGGTTTTGCTTGGTTGGTGCAACCCAGTCGTGGGGGTCACACGTGACCACCCCAGGCCGTGGAGCTCTCCACGGCTGACACACCTCCACCCCACACAGACCACCTGAATATCCTGACCCCACGCAGCCTGCCCTATGCGACCACGGCTGCAGGAATAGATGGGCTGTCACCCTTGCATGGCCTGCCAACCCTGGCACCGGGGGACATGGGGGGCACCGGGGGCACCAGGGCACAGGGGGC